TGTCCAGAAACTCACAGGACTCCTCTGAGAAGTATTCATGCAGCGTATCAAGCACTGCCTGCTGAATCAACTCTGATGGAATTTTAGTTTCTCTTGGGACATTTAGCATGTGTCTGCTACAATGGAGAGGTGGATAGGAAGAACAGCCTGAGACCACATAAAAGCAAAATAAGTTTCTAATATTGTTTTGAATGTCAAGCAGATGAGATAGAAGATGGTTATGGGTAAGAACTGAAATGTGGAGTGTACCCACCATGAATCAGAGAAAATAGGTTATATCATATAAGTTTACCATGTGTGCAGATTGCATACTGTCTTCTTTATTTACCCCCCCGCCCCACGGTCCATTTTGGTTTTAATAAAAGATCTAAGTTTTATGAAAGATGACTGTTACAGCTTTTATCAGTTATGGCACAATTTAAGGAATATATTTTCTGTTTCTTCTAATGCTCTCACAATATGTTGTATAAGTCATTATTCCTTAAGTTCTTTTTTATGCCCCATAGGGAAAAGCAGCCACCTAAAGCATATCTTGACATTATATTCTTTAAGAGGGTTTCATACATCTTGCAGCTGTACCCCAAGTAAAAATGCACTATTTTGAAATATGCATTTATTTTTATTTTTTATTCTTACTAAAATTGTCAGTTTTCTATAACTTCCTACTTGAGAAAATATAATTAAACAAGCTGTAATGAAAGAGCTTCTCTCACTGGGAGGCCATTTTACTGTCCAACATACACCACAATTGTTTTATGAGATACTCTAAGTAAATGTGCTTGTTTATAACCCTTCACAGACAATGTGGTTCCAAACACTACCCTAATTATTCATCACCATCCTTCTTGCTTCTAAATATTTTCAAGTTATCATCACTTGTTCTTTGTAGCCACTACTTTCCTAGGCTGGAATTCAAGTTTTTATATGGTAATATAAGTGTGGGAGATATTTGTTGAACTGCAATGCATTAAGACCAAATATACAGCCAGTCATTAACTTACTGTTTGTACAAGTTTTAAAACAATATAATCTATAAATGGTAAATTCTGAAGCATACAAAAATAATTTTCATCCAACTAGCACTTTCCATTTATAGGTAATTTAGCTTTAAATCCAGTACAAAAGAACATAGGCCATATACTCTCTAAACAACACAATAAAAAACTTGCCTATGCAAAATTTCTGTCACTTCTATTTAATTTTAGTTGAAAGGTGAGGGCATCACTGAAATCTCTTCTGGGATTCCAAGTGTACTTTACCTGTATCCTTATCATAAGAGCACCTTTTGGACCTAGCATAAACATGAGAGGTATCTGCTCTCACCACACTTTTGAAATCCCAGCAGTCAGTCTGTGATTCATATTGCTCAGCCTTTTGTCTTTTGCTTGTATGGAAAAGGATGATAAAGTGTGTGAAAACTCTTGAGGCAGGTATTTCAGATATCTCTGGATTAGAGATTTGAAAAAAAAAGCCTAAGTAAGCAAAATAAGTTAAACCCTTAACAAAAGGCACAGGCCTTTAGAGAAACCAAGTAGCATTATTTTTTTCACATATGGTCAACGTGTTCCAGAGAAGCAACACAAGCAGGAAAATACAAAAAGAGTAAGCCAAACAAAAAAACAAAGAACAAAAAAACCCAAGCCCTTTTCTGTAACTCTAGACCACTCATGTCCAGTGTAATCCAGAGAAAGTGAGAGAACACAACAGCATTTACATGAATGAATGAATGAGCATTTCCCTTAGTGAGGCTTACCACTACAAGTATACCTCTGTAGTGCAAGAATTTCATTCTGCCTTAATGCTACAGAATCAGGATACAGAAAAAGTCATTAGTTGTGGTGAGTTTTGGTGATTATAACTAAAAGTTCATAAAGAATAATTTTGTTGTATGATGTTCACTTAAAATAATGACCAGAAATTTCATTCAGGAGTAATTAAAGAAACATTTCTGTGATCTATAGATTTGGTAATTTTCTAGCTAGAACTCAAAATACAACAATATTTACATTGTGCTAAGATACTGAGAATTCTCATTTAACAGTTTGATCTGCTATTGAAAAAACTACTCTGTCCATATCAAATACCTAATCCAGTTCACTATTTCTGGCTGGATTTTCACTGCTTTCCTGCTGACCTCTGGAAGTACACACCCTGTTTCAGTATACAATCAGTTTTGGTCACTTTGCTTTACATCTCAGTCATTTTGTTTGTAAACAAAAGTGAGACTTTTTTAGACCACACTTGGAGACTGCTACAGTGGCTGAAAAGGAGGCCAGCTCTTTTTTTTTTTTTTTTTTTTTTTAATCTGAGAAAATTCCAATCAAAATCAAGCAATAAACTTTCTTGATTAGCAATAGCTGTAATCCATCTTACACCTTCATTTTTAGAAACAATCATCTTGATATTATGACATTCCATAACGTACTATTTCATTATCATACTAAAACAATAATCACATTAGCAAGGTTCCTGTCTCCTTTCCTCACATCAAGAGCTACATGCAGATACTTCTTTTAATTGCTTCCAGAGAAACATCTGGTGCTGCCTATGTAAATGTAACAGATCACAGTGCATCTCTGGGTATACCTGACCACTTCATACAGCTTGTACAGCCTTGGTTTGGGGAAACCACTTCAGCCTGAACCAGTCTATATTCACAAACAACTGTAATAGTTCTTCTGATTGCAGTGTGACAATATGCTTTCAAAAATATGCTTGAATCAGCCACTTCTGAAAGTTATATAGATTCTTGTGTGGTAAATATTGGTAAGAATAACATTCAAGACATCAGACACAGTTCAAACATTGTCTAATGGTTTAGATTTAATAAGAACAATGACCATTAGATCTGGATAGATAAGGACACAGAAAAATTAAGGTAAAAAGGCAAATTAAAGCCTATTTAACTGAGGCCAGCCTAACCACCATAAGGAAAATCAGGATCGTATTTGGTGGTAACTTTTGTTTGATAAAACTGAACATGTTCTAGTTTAGCTAGCTTAGGTTTTCATTGGTTTTTGACTGCATTGGTACTGTAGAAGCACTGCACAAAGAGCCATCATTTCATGAGTCTGACACTTTCTCTTTGGGGGTTCAAATATTAAATCTCTGCATTATTATATTTTGAAAGATACAACATACCTTCTGTGGCTGAGTGCAATTGTAAGATCCTCACTGATAATCTGCTAGCTTCAAGGGAAGCCTGAGTGTTGGTTTTAGCAAGACCTTGAACAGCCCTAATTTAGCTTTTAGACCAGTAGGAACATAAGAAAAGCAACACTGGACCAGATCAAATATCCATCTCTGACAGCAACCAATGAAAAAAAAATAATGCAAGTGCAGAAAAGCATGGATACTTTCCCACCACTTCCTGCAGAGGTGACTGCTCAGATATGCAACAGTCCCAAAGCAATTTTTCAGATTAATTTGTTGAGTCCCTTTCTGAATTCATAAAAATTTCAGCATGTACTGTATCCTGTGTCATGGGGTTTTGTAGCCCAACTGTGGATTTTGTGAAATGCAGCACAGTTATGCTTGTGTTGAATCCACCAGGTGTTAACTTGTTTTGATATTTTTCAGTTTACATTCTTCAGTGGCTAAAACAATTTCTCCATATCACTTGCAATTTTGTAAACCTTCACTTTATTCCTCTCTAACCATAACCTGTAAAGCACTTATCCTTCATGCCGAAGAGTCCTCTCTGTGTATCTAGTCACTGATCCTGTGTCGTAACTAATTGAATTGTTCAGTTGCTTGAAAACAATAAAAAAAACACCTCTAGACTGGTTTTTACTGCATCATTGGCTTGTAACTCACCTTGCGATTATTCCAGCTAATGACTTCATCATTTTGAGGCTGACAAGTCAGAGTAGAGGAAAATTAAAACCCAAGCTGTTAACATATTTAAAATTATAAACAGATTTGAAAAAAATTGGGTGAATTTATTTAAAAGTATTTCCACTAGAATTCTGAGCTCATCTATTTAGACTGGTTTTTTAATACAGAGGAAAAGTGAATCAGGAAGTATATATGTCTTCATCAATTCATTATTCACCAGGGATATAGAGCTATGATTGCCACTTGCAGTTTAACAACCCCAGGAAACTCTGCCTGTAAAGAATTGTGTTGAAAGGGAGAATACAACACCATTTCAGCTTGCACCGATAAAATTCAGATCACCTTTGCAGCTCTGTTGCAAGGCGGACACCCACTTGTGGGTGTCTTCACAAGAGCAGAAGCTATGACACATCTGTGTCTGTGTAAATTATAGAACTTTTCAAGTTTAGAGTCATTAACAGAAAGTTCGTTGAGCAAGAAACTAAGTTGTGTTCCAGGAAAATATAACATGTGATAGCTATATGCCAAGTGGGAAGGTAAGCCCAGTACCCCTTGGGGTAGTCAAGAGGAGCGCATAGTTTACATAGGAATTAGCAGATCAGATGGAAAACCCTTTGCATAAAAAGGAGATTATAGCAAACAAGGGAAAGTAAGTCCCAGAGATGTAACTTCCTGATGATTATGGTGGAACTGATACAAAACTTACCATGTTAGTCACCTCTTACTTTGTGACTACTGTGCAGCTGGCAGAATAAGTGGCAAGAGCTGATATAAAAGCATAGAAACGTGTTTTCCTTACCTTTATGGTTCCACAGGCTGTGTTTATGCATTGATGAGTTAACCTTTTGTGACTAAAGTAACACAGAGACAAATTACTAGTCTTCTAAGAAGTCTTAGAAGTATTTTACTTATAACCTGTACAAACTCCTTGCCCTGGTTCAGAAATTTACAGTGTACTTATCCCTAAATGGGCTTCTCAGTCATGGTTGCAGCATTCAAAATTTCAAAACTGCAGCAAGGGATAAATTTGAAATCCAACACTACTAACATTTTCTAGGATCACCAACACAAGATAAAGGAGTTCAGCAATGCTACACTCATTCATTAAGATGTGTGGAAAGACACTTAATCAGAAACAAATCCAACACAACAGGAGCACTCACCAGTGACTGGCGGAACAGGAAACACTTCTTGGGGTCAATCCCACAGGCAAGGATGGCAGCAGTGGTGTCCAGGATGTTCTGGCGCAGGACAGCTGGCTCCTTGGGCATGGTGAGAGAGTGCATGTCCATAATGCTATAGAGCACTGAGCTGCACTTTTCCTGCAGATTCACCCAGTTCTGAATGGCTCCAAGGTAGTTACCCAGATGAGGGGTCCCAGTTGGCTGGATACCAGAAAAAATCCGATCCACAACCATGTTCTGTGACAAAGCATTGGCAAAATAAACATACTTTTTCCGCCCCCATATTCTTTTATATTTTAAAGTAATTAAAAAAGCTTCATTTATGCCTGTCTCTTCTCCCCTCCTGTCAGTGTAGTAATGTATAAATGACCACAGAACTGATAATTGCAGTAAGTTAGTTAAAATACTCTATCTTACAGCAGACAGACCAACAACTACCATAATTTTAAGCTGTTAGACTGCATATGCAAAAAAAAAAAAAAAAAAATACAGCTGTAAACAAGACTGGCGAAAAGTTGGTCTCAGAAACCAAGTGGTAGATTCTTTCACTTCCTTTGCACCAAAGCTCTATGTTTCTCTTTAGTTTCTATATCCACACTTCAGTATCGATATCCACTCTGAGACAGAAACTTAGGGTCACAGAGCAGAGAAATTCAAACATTTTTGTTGTAAACTCATGCAATGTCCCAGTAGATTGTCATCTTAACTCCCATGGACATTGAAGTCTTATTTTTCTAGCTGCAAAGAACATTTTGAGCAGTTCCTGAAAGAAACCTACTTCTTGACTCAAAGGTCAAAGAATAATTAAAGAGATCATCAAAGTTCTGAAACTCCCCATTTTGGAAGCAATAGAATTTCTAAAAGAGCTCTACAAAGAAATATGGCTATAGCTCAAGATCACACCTGGAATACTGTCCATGCATCAGGACCAGTAAAATGTCAACATCAGAAAAGAGTTCACAGAGAAACAGCAAAAACAAAAACAAAAACAAAAAAAAAAAAAAAAAGACTAAGAAGTTGAGGTTATGAGCAAAGATTAAAAAGCTTGAAACATGTATAGCTTGGCTAAGTGACAGTTACCATCTCTGAAAGTTTGTTTTCCTGCATCCCAGCCCTCCATCTGACCATTTTCTCAGAGCCCGGAGCTGTCAGCATATGATCAATTACCTCCCTGACCTTCCCAAAGAATTCCACCATATTCAGAAGTAGATCAGCAATGTTTTATGTGAAAATGCTTGCTACATGCCAAGTTGCAAGAGCATGCAAGACCGCTCAACTTATAAATGAGGGTTCCCCCCCACCACACCAAATACAATACAAATCCTCAGATTCTGTCCTGTGGCAGGATAATCAACTTCATTATGTCTGTGGCTGCATGATTTTTTTCCCTGCTAAATTTTATGAGCAACATCTATAACTTAGCAGGAAGAATTTATTTACTGATGTAGTCTGTTTTCTTTTCTGTGAATCTCTTACAAATGTGTGTGGGAGGAAAAAAAAAAAGTTATACAACTATTAAACCACACAAAATGGCAGTAAAAGTCAAGGCCAAGTACCATTACTTTTAACTATTAAGAAAAGGACTTCAAATTGACTTAATTAATTTTGACTCAGACTTAAGAAAAATTAATGAGAAAGTGTTTCCAAGTGGAATAGGACTTCATCACTTTTAATCATGATCTATAACTCAGAAAAGCCTAGACTATTTCTTTGTAAATTTGCTGGAAAATTCTCTTTTCTTCTAAAGTAAGCTTGTTTTTCAGATCAAGACAATTTTCTTACCCAATATTAAGTGTTTGTGCTGACAGACAAGAGCAGCTTTGGGTTAGCTGCCATGCTAATTTCTCCTGCTCATATAAATGTCTACACATTTAAGTCTTGATGGCAACCCCTTCACCCCATCCCAGATGTCTTCTAGACTTCTAGTATATTCTTGAGTCAGTTTCTAAGTGCTCTTGGAGAACCTCCAGCACAGGAGCTTCAAGGTAGTCACTTGAAGCAATGAAAAGCACACCACTTCTTCCAACAGCAATTCCAGCTTCCAGTCCTTGTGTTCCAGTCCTCGACCACCCATGTGCCTCTTTTCTTCATTACACAAAAATGGAGTTATGATACTCAATCTCTCACTTGGCATTTGATCCCTTGTCTTCCTAGGAACTTACATTAGAGCATTTCTCACCCCTCACAGAATCCACTCGCCTCCCACTAAGCTACTGCCTGGCCCAGGACTGCAGCCAGCCTCCTGTTAACATTGAGAAGAGCCAGGTGCTCTCTTGCAGGAGGCATTCAACATTCCAATGTGTATAAATGAGATGAAGTCTTATCGAAACTTGGGATTCACTAGACTTCAGAGCTGTACTTGTATTACTACAGGTCTAGAGCAGCTGGTAGGCAATGCAACAACTACTTCACAAGCATAACATTTGTTTTTTGCTTCCTATGTTTCTTAACTAACTCAATAAGAAGTCAGGGAGGAAATAGCTGACCTACTGGGATCCCAGAACAGCTGATTGTTTGTCAGAGCACATAACCTTTTTTCATGCCCGTATCTCTGCTCACTGAGTTCAAATCCTGATGCTCCTTCCCACAATTACTTCTCCCTGGTTGCTTACTGTTGCCCATTTATATGCCTGTTTAACAACAACTCTTCTCCACAGACCATAATTCTTACAGCCCTACTCTCCATTTTCTTATCAGAAATTTCATCCCTCCAGTATTCTTTTCTTCCTCCACTTGTACTTTACACCCCTTGCTTCCCCAGAGAGCTCTTACATACAGCTCTTTATATACAGCTCTTACTGTAAGAAGGCACAGAGAATGTTAACATTATTACTATTATTACTAATTAAGTTATTACTGTCTTGACTCCAGTCACTTCATAAAAAATATGTTTTTTACCTGCATGGTTATAAAAGTTAAGAAATGTTATCGAGCACCAGAAATCCACTATGGACCCACATCAATTAAAGTATCTTAGGTTGACCAAATTAAAGCATAGTGCAGAAACTTGCACATCTTCCAACTTCAGTCTAGTAAAAGACAGCATCACCTGACATGTCTCCATGTTACTGCTTCTTTTCCCTGGGACTTGAAGCTGGTGCTACTTCAGTGCAGGAGCAGCTCTGCACTGGGGTAACTGTGTGTTATACCAGGCACAGGAATTTCTATGCAGTCAGCACAGATCAGCTCATGTGCCAACCCCTTGACCCAAAAGGTGCTGACACCCCGAGCCTGTGGAGAACAGCTTTGTCTAGAAACTTGGTTGGTCTCCAAGTCAGGCAGACTCAGTTCCTTTACAGCTGCAGTCCTTGCTTCGAATATTTCCCCTAACATGTTCATTATCTGCCTTTTCAACTTCTCGGATCACTGTCCAGTCTGTAGATAATGTTATTATGAACATATTGGATATATTAGCAAAATTGTGTCCCTTAATGTAAGTATAATACACTCAATACATAAAAATGCAATAGTGATATTTAAACATGCAGTCTGAGAATGTTTTTCACCAAGAAAATACAAGACATCAGTGTCTCAGCATAAACTGTGTGTTCAAATTCTGTACTAACTCCAAATATTCAAAGGCTAACAATAAGCTAATGAAAGGTAGGTTTGTTGTAATAGTATGTAAGTTAGCATCTGGTAACACACTACATGTTGAAAAGAAAACACACAATGTACAATGTTAAATGGACACAGTTTCATATAAAGAAAGAATGAAGTTCTCTATACATTAAAGAGAATACCTGTGAAGGCAAGCATGGCATCTTTAATGGTGCTTTGTATGTTCAAATGGTAAACAAATACTTACAAAAGGTTTGTTCAGTATAAGGGCAATAAATAGCAAGTGAAACATTAGAAACAAACAGTAGCAGTATTATATTCAGCCTAAGCTCAGCAATTACTTAACCTGAAGTAGAGAATTCACAGAAATAAGTAAATCCAATAATGAAAACTGAGCTAGGCTGAACCTGAGTAAAGCATTAGCAAATCCATTACAAAGAACAAACCCATACTGGCTCCCAGCTGAGGGACCAGTTGACTTGATGTCTTTCATCTTTAACTCCTTTGATTCCATTTAACAACATAAAGCACGAGAAGTTACAGCAAACAGGGTGGCATGAAATATTCCATTGTGTTAGCAGAAGTCTATATTAAAAAAAGCCCACACAAAACACCCTCAAATGAATCTTGGACTTCTTGCACTAAAAATATACAAAGAACATTGCTCCTTTGGAGAGAGTTTATGTTCCCTGTTTGTTCACTCTGTGAGAAGCAGCGGGCAGCATAGCAGCATGGCAGGGGACTTCTGCCTGGTACCATGAAATCATGGGGCTGGAATGCACTTCAATGGAGAATTAGGTCAGGGGATGGGAGCTGTGTGCTCCAAAGTACTGGAGCTGGAAAAGGATAAAAACAAAAGGAGTGAAGACTTCCCAATGGAGCAGAGTGAAAGCCACAAGACATGCAGCTCCAGCCCACAGGCACTCACTCATTCAGACATCTGTAGTAAGCACAGTGTGAGCCTGCTGTTCATATGTTTAACTCTGTGTGGTGTGTGCACCTATGCCAGTAGTGCGGCATGTTAGTCCTCATGCCTGCTAGGAGTGCTGCATCTGACAGATGACTTAGCACCTACTATTTGTTTTCTCTCTAAAAGACCTCTGCAGGCCAATTCTAAACACCACAGTGTATTTCTCAGCTGCATCACGGAATGAAGCTTGGCCCCAAACCCATTAAGATTCAGGTGTTCTCTCACCTAACCTCCCTTTTGTCATGAGATTAACTGCTACTCCTTATAATGAAAAAATATCAACATCCAAGTGCTCTCAAACAATCATGAATAAGCATTACATCCTTATCCCAGAGTAGGATGGTTAAAATCTGGTCCTGCCATCCCGTAGCATGGCCATATCCATTTTCAATGCAAAACAGGAAAGATGACAGCTTCCAAAAATCCAATTCTACTCTCTGAGACCAAAGCAGAGCTTTTCTGAGTACGCAAGGTGAGCTACAACTGTCAAGGACTCAATTCAGCAGTCAAAACTACAATCATTCCCTATCATGAGACAGATGCGCCAGAACTGGAAGACACACCAAAGCTGATTAAAGGAAAAGTCCATGCAGATCCAAGCATCCCATGTTACATTAAATTCTTGGTGTTCTAGCTATACATTTCATGTTTAGCTTTACGAATTCTGTCACTGCTGAACACAAGAATTTACTGCATCTCAAATATG